AGCACGTCTTGGTAGGAGACGCTGACGGGAAAGCACCTCCACCGCACAAACTCTGAGGGGACCTCGCAACGAACAACGGGCGTCCGTAGAATGAAACACATGCAAACGTGGGTCGGTAAACGAAACGGGATGGGGAACCCCCTTCTCTGGTGTGCCACACTCAAATTTGTTTCAATAGGGGCGAATCCTCAAATGCTTGCAAATGCTTGGGTTAGTGTTTTTTATTTTTTCAAAACAAGGGAGTTCCTCTGTTTTTGAACACACCGACAAGTAAATGGGTGCACCGATTTCCGACCAATCGCAAGAGCGGCCCAACACCTAAAATTTGGCCACAAACGGTGTAACATGTACGCACTCCAACAAGGGACATGGGCCTGTCTCAAAATAAGGGCGCCCCTCAAACCCAAGTTGGCTGATGATGTGTCCCTGTTCTATCTTACAAAACGACCAAATGGGCTTGCCCAAACGGCACCCAAACGTGGGTAACATGAGGGATAAATTACTAGGTTTGGATTTTGGGTGTTTTGCCAATTTCAGTGATAACCATAGGAGCATAATATTGTTATGTATTTTGCCCCTCATGTTTTGTCTCAAAATGGCCATGTGTCAAACATGGATTGTCCTTTTGGTTTCCCTTTTTATTGATCAAACCGCACAAGGGCAAAAGGGCGTGGCGTCCTCACACGGGTATGGGTCAAAATTAAACCACCAGGGGACCACAGGTTTTGGTCCATGTTTTCATTTACCAGGATTCCATTTTGGGTACATGTTTTTGACCCACAGCCACACAAACACTGCCCCAAAAAAACCCAGCTGGCTGTGGGTCAAAAATAGGTACCCAAAATGGAACCCTGGTAAATGGAACCAAGGACTAAAACCTGCGGTCCATATCCTGGTGGTTGAATTTTGACCCATACCCATATGGCCTTCCAAAATCAAAAACAATGAAGCGCAGCTAATGAACTGGACCTTGATGTCTTGTTTGTTGCTTTGGTTGGCGTTGTTGCTGGCATTGCTTGATTTTATTTGTCGTGAGTCGTGTGGCTTCTGGTTCATGGGTTTGCCCCAGGTTTCATCCCGTTGCGACACCGAAGCCACCGGAGCACCTGCCGTCGCTGATGATGGTCTTGGCACTGCCCAGCAAACCAGACACCTGGCGCTTGCAACCCAAACGGCGGAGAAAAATGGAGAAACCAACATGAACCAAAACAGGAGCACCACAAAGAATGTTTTTGTTTTGTTTTTTTTAAACCAAGTTGAAAAAGGAATTTGGGGATGAATCAAAACCCTGTGATTTTCGTTTGCGCTTCACCGTTAAACCAAGCTGACCGGCGGAATTGAAAGAATGCATACGGCAACTGCGTGCGTGCGAGGAACCTATTTCTTAAGCGCATCTAGAAACACATTGGAACTCCCAATCTTCATTAATTGTTGGCCCTGGGTTGCAATCCAGTGGGTGGACTGAACCCCAAACTTACCCAATCAGCAAAACGGTTCATCCGCTTTGATGCAATAACTCGTTCTGATGAATGTGCTTTTACATATATTAACATATAGGAAATTGTTGCTTCCACGCCCCTTCTCACAATCGTAGCTGAAGGAATGGGGGGCGCATGTCCGATTGGATGACAATGGACGGTTGCTCAGACAGGCTTGTTTAGATTCCTTGTGTCGGCTCCCCGGCCACCATTGCAGCCGGGGGCCACAGTCGTTCAGTATGTTCAGTTCAAAAAACTGGTCAATAGGTGAACATATCTAGAAGTTGGTTGACTCAATCAATAAAGCTCAGCAAAGGACCAATGCGTTCACCGTATGCATAAACAACACACAGAATCTAAGCATATCTACGCACGAAATCTCAACAGTGGAGCCATCTGGACCTTCCGGGGGTCCAAAAATTTAGGCGTTCGCCACAAAACACGTGTTGTTTGCCTTTGGTGTGAAAAAATATTTTTAGGGCGAAAACACGCCGGCGGTCATATTTGTTTGCGCCGCGGTCGGGCATGTTCGCCTGTTGGTCGGGAATTTTCGCCTGTAGATTCGGGGAGATTGCGCTTAACACCCACATTGAGCAAAAAAAACCGTAGGCAAAAAACACCCGCAATTGCCCCACAAAGCAATTCGTAGAAAAAAACGGAAACTTTGAGCATGCAGGAAGGTCCAGGTATGTGCGCAAAGGCAGTGTTTTGATGGCACTTGTTGGTTTGTGATATTGGCCGGCCATATCTCACTTGCCCAAAGGACTTAGAAAGATGGGTTACTGTAGCCTTTCGGGAGGACTACACCCTGCTTTCAAAATTGGAAGGCTGTTTTCGGGAAATGGCCACGGATCATTGCTCCCAAAAGTCCAAATTGTTTCAAGTGGAGTTTCCAAACCCAGGTATGCTAACATTTTGCTCTTTGCCCACGCCAGTAAAGCCGAGCAGAACCAAACAACCAAAAATGAAAAGCTAACAACATGCCAAACAAAATAATGTTTCAAATATTGGTATCATAAGAAAACATAGACCCTGAAAAATTGCAGTTTTCCTTCGTGCAAACGGGGAAGGGGTTCTATATTACACCGCGTGGATTCTTTGGGGCATATTTGGGTTATGCACGTCACTCTGTCCAAACCATGCATCCCCTGCATGTCCTATATGGTTGGCATGGTGAAATGCCACCTCGTTCACATATCATTTCCCATGGCTTGCCGCGTCAAGAGTCGTTTCTCACCGGTTTTCCCAATGATGTCGGTGTTCCGCCGGGTTTTTCCCTGGACCTTCCTCTTTTCCCAGCTTTGACCCGTGCCATTGACCCATGGCCTGTTCTGCCAGGGCCCCGAAGGTGGCGCTCATCACCACGAGGCGCACCCCATTCCGCCTGCAGGCCAAACCACCGAGCATCGTGAAAATCGGCCCTCGGGATTTACAAAAAACCCGCCCGACTGGGCAAACTACAAACACGTAGTACGCGATCGCTATGATTTCTGTCGAAAAATAACAATGTTTGATATTGTTTGATGCTACATAGTCCATTTTTAGTGACCCCTCAAATTAACAAAACAAAATAGGCCACAAAAATACAAATAGAACATACCATTTGTAAAAAAATCCCTCGTGTCTTCAAAAGGGCGCCCGCACAAAGTGCAGTCCACCTAATATCAAAATCACAATAGAAAAGGAAAATAAACGCTTGAAACTGCAAATGATGATTGATTTTTTCTGCAAGCAGGTGATTTCGTTGAGTCTTGACCACGATTCAATCACGCACCGCGCCTTTGTTTTTTCTTGTGAAGGCATAATGCAAACCCCAGATCGGACTCGACGCTGCGCTCGTGGAACTCGTCGAAACATATGCAGCTGATGCCTGTGCACATTGGAAACGGCATCAAACAAATTCGGCAAGGACTTCTGCATGTGCATTCAATGTTCCAACACATGTGTTCTTGTGCCTTGGTCAATCTGAAACTTCCGTGATCGACTGAGGCCGGCACGAAGTGCGATTCGACATGACCATTCCAAAAAATAAAGCTGCAATCAAGGCGCGGCTGTCCACAAATCAAACAAACCGCACAACACATCCGGGCAAACATGAAAAAACAACTAACTCACACGAAGGGTTTGGGTTTCGGATTGTTTCGAATCCGTTTGCAGAGCGCCTTCCAGATCAGGGTTGTTGTTCAGCATGCGAACGAGCACGCCTTCGGTGACCACCTTCCCAAGGAGGCAAGGAAACACGGAACAAAATTATTGGCCCGCCCTGCCCCCCCCGGTTGTTCCACGCAACCCAACCAACTTGGATCTTGATGTTTTGTTACATGTGTGGCCACACACATAAATGCACACAACTGAAACTCCAAGATGTAAACTGCTGGGTGACCAGCCTCGATCCGGGTACGATTTGACACAACGGCTTCGTGCCGGATGCGGTAGCCTGGGCGCTGTCCGCGTATGAATCCCAATACATCACAGACTGCAAGACGAGAAATCGAGGCGGTGGATGTCAACACACTGTGTCATGTGTAAGCTGCAATCATCTGTTCAGTGGGCGACGTCCGTCCCCTTCAACTTGCACAAGCAAACTTTGGGGATACCTCCAAATGTGGCCAGCAAAGGTAAACCTGCAAAGTCCCTGTTTTTGCCCTGGTGGCTGTTGAGCAAATTCAAGTCCTGAGGCTGCGACCGACAGTCTCGCCAACAGGGTCCCCCCACAAGTCGGCCATGCGCCTGGCAAACTGAAATCATTCATCTCTCTTCAGAAGATGGCACCCCAAGGCCTGAGAACATGGTGGTTTCACCATTGCCAACTTCCAAGCGGCAGATTGGCAACAAATATTCGCTCAAGAGCGAGACGCCAAGAGGATCTCTTTCCAAGCTTCCGCCGGCTGACTTGGGGCTAAGACACGGGTGCTTGCAAAACTATGGGTGTCCCTTGAACATCCATGGTCTGATCCAAATCATTGCTCCCAACCCTGGAAACCCCGTTCATGACTTCTCAATGTGCCAAGACCAGACCAGTGGCAGGGGGGCTACTGGCGGAAGCCACGGAATTTCTCATCCCGCCGTGCAACGTTGACGCAGGTGATGCGCCGCGGCTGCAGCACGATGACCTCTCGGATCGATGTTGCGCCGAGCCAACCATCAACTCTCAGCATCTGAGGTTTCACTCACTTTCCAAAAAGACAAAAATCAACAAGCTGAAGAGTCTGGAGCATGAGAAAACCAAAAGGTTGAAAGGTTGGCTTTGGGCAAATGAGTTTTCTCACATACCCCAAACGGATATAAAGCAAGAACATGGAGCATAGGCCATACATAGCCCGTCCTCCCCTGTTGGCCCTGTTCAAATTACTCATGCCAGGTTTTTCCAGGCCGCAAACAACAAATGGCTGTGTCCAAATCGAATTGCAGCGTCCCTCGCAGTGGCAGATGCGTGCGTGTGTGTGTGTGTGTGTGCGCGGCTTAAGATTGAAATACTCTTGAAAGGGGCCCTCTTAAACTTGAGGCACCACCGAATGTGGAGGGCGATCTCTGGCTGCAAAGCACCCAATGGCCGGACTGGCCTCAACAGCTTCTGATGCCTCTGCATGGCCAACGCGCATGTTTTCAAGTGTCCAAGTGAGGCTATGCAAGCACTCGGGTGAGAAGCAGTGAAACCAGCTAGTGGTGACACGTGCCGGAAGATCGGCATCTCATTCAGATGGTGGTCTTGGAGGAATCGCACAAAAGTCCACAAGTATGGATTGCCCTGGCACGTACATGCCGAAGACAGGGTACACGCACGGCCAGTCCTCACTTGCCCGAAGAACATATAAATCAAAGCTACTTTTAGGTTGCCAAACATGGGGAACCACAACTCAAACGAAAAGAGGACCAAAAGGAACATAAACGGAGTGAGTTCCCAACATGTCACACACATCGCGTGACTCATGCTTAGTTCTGGTAACACTTATCAAATCTATCCCAGCTCTATTCCTGAAAAACCCATATCCGACATATCCTTGAATGCCTTCTTGGAAACTAAGCGGCTTCTCGGGTTTTGAAGGTGGAAGTGCCGATGAAGTTCCCGTTGTGGTACCACTGCAGGGCTTCCGCGGCCACGTCGTTCCGTATGCCGATGGTCTCCCCGGCGCTCAGCGCCAAGCCGGCGACCACGTTGTGGTCGCCGATGGCGTCACCCATGAGGCCGTTGTTGCTGTTGTAGAGCACCTCGATTTTGGCTTCACCCTTTCAGGCACATGGATTTCCAAGAAGCTTTAGGAATTCACCACGTGAAAAGACAAATTAGTCAGAATCAATGCCTGGTCTCACTTCCTGAGCGCATGGTCCAAAAGAAGTCTGAACTTCTCTTGTTTACCACCCAAATGGTCCTCCCAAAAAAAGTAAAGTCCATGAACTCAGGGAGTGAGTTGTATTCACATGGCCTACCCAGATTGCAAAGGAAAGCCTGCGTGGCCAGTGGCAAACGGACACCCTCTTCTGTCAGACTTCCAATCAATCGGTGGACATCACCTCGTGTTCAACTTTCAATGAGAACCCACCACAAAGCAAGAAACTCACCCGAAAACAAAAACACAACCGAGTCAACCTCGGACGAATCTGAAGGACTGCGCCCCAAAGGGGAAAGCCATGTGCGCCCCCTACCCTCCCATAGCACTCACGGCTGAGGAGCACAGGTTTGGAGCCGGATGGAATGAGTCTCCGGGCCCTGCGGCAGTCGATTGCACACTCCCACCGCCAGCCCGCCCCGGGCATCCGGGTTCATCAAGACCTGGCCATGTGGCGGCGAGGGGGCGGGGGGGTCTGTTCGAAAGAAAGGCAATTTATTTCCAACAGGCCGGGGCCAAGGTCAATCAAAGACCAGCCATATTCCCATGCGTTGGACTGTTCCAATCCCGAAAATTCTGAGCAGGGAGCGGGGGGGACACAGGAAAACCAGTGAAGGTTCCCCTCTAAATGGGTCCAGCTGATTGGTTTCCCACGCCCCCTGAACCCACTCCACGCCCACCTTGAAGCGAGTCCGTGAGTCTGTTGCTTCCCTGCCTGGACCTCGAAGTAAGCGGGGCTGGCCACTGGAAGCGGGTTCTCCGCTCCCACCACCTGCCAGTGAACCCCCGCGGCTGTTCAGCATTGCTGGTAGAAAAAGAGATTGACCGTTCTCTTGGCAAGGGCCAAGAAACAGGGAAAACGGGTGAAGCCCACCATCTACCATTCTGAGTGGGCTTAATCAAACATAAACAACGGAGAAAGGGTGCCAGGGAACAACTGGATGTCAAAACCATGTAGAAACCATGTATAAATATGTAGACATACAATGTCATGGCAAACAACCGCACGGCATACATACAATTGCACCCCTGTGTGTTTCCCAAGAATGCCCCACTTCAGCCCATTTCATGGGCACGCTTGACCCGTGGCTTAGGTCACATGCTTTGGCACTCTATTCTTGGGACATCTTGAAGCCTTGCTTACCTCTGAGTGGCAGCTGCCACAAGCCCAAAGCATCATCTGCCCAAACTTTTACGTGCAGTTGCCGGTGCAAAAACATGTCGACGTCGTTTCACCATGCAGCTGCGGCATTCAAGTTGCTTTTGTAGCAGCTTTCACAAGTTAAGGTGATTGTTTACGTGGCGATGTCTTGATCGTTCTTGGATTGCACAATGGGTTTGAACTCTCATTCCGCTTTCATGGATGCAGGACAACAACGAAACCTTCAAGTGCAGCCGGCTTGGGGGGTTAAAACTTTATTGAGCGATGCATGTGAACATGGATGGAGAAGTCCGCAACTCTACGGCTCGGTATAGTCGGCATGCGTAGGAAACGGGGAGCGGCACATTGCAAATTCTTGCAGAATTGGCACTGTCGCAGTTCCTGCAAGGTGCCCTAATTGTTCGCATCTTTTGGCTACCCCCGTGGCCGTTGGAAGCAATGCATGAAATACTGCATACCCAAATCACCCAAACCCTGAACAAAGCAGGGCGTGCCAAATTATCGGACTTTAAGGATTATAACCAGTACGAAACATATTGTGGGACTAGTAGCGGTTAAATATGGGGTTTGTACGGCTTAATAGTACGGGGTGCAATTTGCAAAACCGGCATTTTTGGGAACCGGGGTTTTCAGCAATACCAGGCAAAAACATGGGTTTTCAATTTACACCTTGCTTCTATTCAGGGTTTAATCGCACAAGTTTTTTAGGTCTTGACAAACCCTTGCAAAGGCCTGCCAGCCAGGGTGAGTGGCCCTCAGCACTTCCACGGTCTTCCCGCCGCTCTCTTGGCTGGCGATATGCAGGGAGGAGCCGTGCAGCGGGTTCATACCTCCGGAAAGCGGGTATGCACTGACACGTGGGTACAATGACTGAATGGGGAGGGGTACCGAACAAGGTTGGGGAGGGGTACTAAACCAGGTTGGGGAAGGGTTACTCATTGACAAACTTCATCGAAAACAAACCCTCTCAGAATGAAATTGGGAGCTGCGAAGGCGACATCTCGACTTACAAAGGCGGCTGTGTTGTCCGAATCCGATTTTGCGACTTGCTTACCAGCGTTGGGCGCTGTCAGGGGTCCCAAACATTGAGCCCACCCACCGAGATAAGCATCGGAGCGCGTTTCACAAAAGTTGGCCAGGGGAGGGGGGGTTCTGCATTGGAAGAAGCTTTCTTTGAAGTACAGATAGGATACATGATGACAAAAAAGACAATTCCCAAGTACCATTTGCTATTCCAGAACAGCTCCTATCTCCACGTCTCAGAGCTTGTCGTGATTCGTAGAAATCCATGCTCCATGAAGGCTTGCGCAACGAGGACCTCTAAACGTGTGCAGCCAAATGAGCATAATATAAAGCAAACAACAACACGTGAGGGTGTGCATGTGACAAAGCAAACGCAAAGAAGACACTTGTTTGTCTCAAAACAGGTGTGAACTTCAATTATTTGTCAGATGTCATTCCCCCTTTAAACACCCGATGTCCAACTCGTCAAAACAGCCGCAGCTCCGCCCACAAAGCGGCGAATTCGGCTTTGCGTGTGGGGCGCGGTTGGGCTTCAGAAAGGGCCACAGCTTCCAGGCCTCCGCCAACAGCTCCTGGCGACACATGCTGTGTGTGTGTGTGTCGTTCAATGGGCCCAGGTCGTTTTGCGCCTTTTGGTGGCCCTTCGCCTGGCCTCATTATTTTACCAGGATCAAGGTCACCCCCTAAGTGGTGGGTTAAAGGGAAACAACCCCATTTTCAGACTTTGATAACCCCCAGAAACCGTCAAAATAATGACCCCAGTTCGAAGCCACCCAAAAGGGTTCCCTCAAAAAGCACGCCATGTAAGTTCCCCCCTTGTGATAGAAACGATTGCCATCCACTGGGATTTCCTCGTCACCGAAAACAGCCCCAAAACCTAAACTCCACAAACACGCCCAGCTACTGTTTGGGAACACAGCAAACAAGTAGGCACTTAGAGGGTGGCGCTGAGCAAATGGGGACTACTCCTCTGCAAGCCAGCCAGGAACCTATCTTTTTGTGTTTGTCAACAACCAGCAGCATGTTGGTGATTCCTGAAATGCTGTTCAAACGGAAGCCGACAGCACCCATATGTGGTTGCCATGCAAGCTTTGAAGCGGTGGCAAGTTGGCTCCATATTCCGCTTCTGCACCACTGGCACCACGGGCAAGGGCGCGTCCTGGCACCGGCGCCCATCACGCGAGCGCGGCCATAGTGGTAGCCAAAGGAAGCCTTACAAGAACTAAGAACTGCCATAGTACTGGAACTGTTTGTCCAACTTTTAGCACTGCGCGGGGAAAAATAAAGCTGGAAAACTGGAGAATTGGGCATAGAATCTGGCAAACAACGTGGCCCTCTGTGTGAATCCGGTTCTTCCGCATGTGCCCAAGCCATCTTTGTCGCGATACCTGACGGAGGCGGTCTCGGAAGCGGTTGGAACAACTTCGAGACGGGAGCAGTGGCACGGCTGCGCGCAAAGCTTTGCAACTATCAAGCGGTGAACAATATGTTCGGACTTCCTCGGTGAACAACTTGTTTTCTGCTGCGATTTTCCCTTTGCTTGCGGGACCGTCTGTGGACTTGCCAGGGGGTCGACCTTCAAAATCCTGGTATTTTTGCACCTGCAGTTTGCGAAGTGACTGCATGCCTAACTGGCGAACTCGTGAAAGAGTTGGTCAGCGAACAAAGCAATTAAGCAGCTAGATAAAAGCAAACTCGCGCACACCTCAACTAGCTGTTGCCATAGCATGAACTCTGCAATGCCGACTTGGAAGCTGCTGCTTCTGCAATCCTTCCAGACACGGCAAATCTTAGTCGCAGGTAAAGCTGCCTCAGCCTTTTTGCCCAACTACTTGCAACATGCTTAGATTGAGGCGAATGCAAGCGAAACTCAAGCAGCAAGTACATGTCAAACACGTGTAGGACGGAGTGAGTCAAGCAAAACGCAAAATGTATTTCAACTCTACCCCGGAAACCTTTCATCACCCCCAGCTTTCCCCGCATTCCGAAAGAGACAATTGAATCGTCCTGGCGCAGGCGCCGGTTCCGCAAATACTCCACCACCAGGCTGAAGCACTGAGGATTGAAGTCCTGAGTGTGCCAAACCAACGAGCACACATGACCCCTGATGAGTTCAACTTTAGAGGAGCCCACCCAAGGGTTCCTGGGTCCCTTTTGGAAGTGGATGGCACCAGTAAATGGTTAAAATTACATTGAAAGCAGCTAGCAGGACCTGCCTTTCAACTACCAAACTGAAACCAGAAAAGCAGGTTGGGACTTTTTGCCCCATCAAGAGTCAAAGCGAACTCCAAAAAGAGCATGAAAAGGGAACATGCCCTTTGGGTTACGATCCGCCTAAGAAAACAACCCGCCAACTTTTAAACTAGACGCAAGTTGTCCAGTGGCCCTGGTAGACGACACACGGGAGCCGTGTTTATCGCTGACCATTTGCAGCGGGGAACCAGGGTGTGAAATCCACCCGTGGGCCAAGACTCTAAGAAGAAGCGTCCCTCCTCATCCCGCGGGATCTCCGCAATGAACTCCTGGCTGAACATCTCCGCCAAAACGCTGCCCTGGATGCTGCCTCAAACGTCTCAAGACTTGGCCAGGGGGAGGTGGCCAGAAGTTTCACTTGTTGCTGATTTAATTAAAAGTTGGTGAAGTCCTGTGAACTTGAAAGATGAAACCAGCAAAATTGGGTGCTGTCCCCTTCCATTCCCCCTCAAGCACCCGCAAACAGGGGAAACAGAAACACGTCCAATTGGACAAACTGAGGACAGGGACTTGCCCCCGCGGGCTTGTTGAGAAAGAATGAAGAAAAGAGAAACAAGATAAGGTCAGGGTTTGGGGTGTGTTCTTGGAGATGTTGTTTTTCACAGTTGTAACTCAAACGAAGCCACAAGGGACAAATTCTGAAGATGAATGTGTTTCGTGCAAAGCCCCCGCTTGGTCCCAACAAAAGTGGCCGCTGAACAAACCCGAGGAAGCAAAGTTGTCAAAGCCACCCAAAAACATACGATGGATCTGAAAAAAAACAAATCACAACAAACACATACACCAATAAAACACAAAAAGAGGAAGACTCAAAAGGGTGGGATCTACCATCCACGGACGGGCGGCACATGGTCTCCCTGGGCACCGTAAAGACCTCGCCCGAGCAGTTGATTTGCAGCACCTCCAGAGTGGGGGGCCACATCTTGGCCATGTCTTCGCTGAGCCGATTCAGACGTTGCCACTCCCCATCGATCTTCAGCTTCTCCCTGTAGCACCACTCCTGTCTCAGCTTGCGATTCTGTCTCCATCACTCAAATCAGAAGCAACATCGGCAGCGGCCATGGTTTGGACTCTGGACGCGCCTTTTGTGTCCCTCACATGGCCCAACCAGCGCCTTTGGGTTTCCCCGCGCCGTTTGTGTCCCGAACGTGGCCCAAGCAACGCCTTTGGGTTTCCCCGCGCCTTTTGTCTCCCGAACACGGCCCAAGCAACGCTTTTTGGTGTCCCCCTGGCGACAACGGGAGATGGACCCATAGTGAACTCATCCGGACCGGCTCCTCCGTCTCCGCCCGGAGGCGCTCCAGGCCCTCCGTGGTCTGGTCCTTCTCCTACGGCCAGAGAGTCCACCAGACCCAAACCCAAGGCCGAAACTGGTCGTGAGTCAAGATTGGAAGCCCAACCTTCCCAAAACATAAACAAATAAATAAATAAATCCAAAGTTGTCTCGACCAAAGGGGTTGCAGCAAAAGTTGTACCTGAAAGGAAGGGATATCCTGCATGTGGCCCGAATCGCGTTCGTACCCCTCGTGGAATCTATCAATGCGTGACTGAAGCAGACCCATGCAATGGCTGCCGTGGGTGCTCTGGGTGCCGTGGCAGCATCACACAAGGCCAGCCAACAAAATACAACATGTGACCAGCTTGGAGTTCAAGCGCGTATGCTTGCACCCACCAACATGAAAGCGAGGCCTCCTTGGCGACGTTCCGCTAAGCAGTGAACAAGATGAAAGGGACTCGTCTACAACAAGTAATTCATGCCATGCTGACAAACCAGAAGGCTGCACATAGCATACGGGCAACTTGGAGAAGATGCCCAAAACTGCAAAAGCCTATAGTTCGTTTCAAGAAGCAATCATGAGCGTGTGTATCTGATCCAGCTTTCTTCCCTGCCTGCTCACCTTTGGTACCTGTTCGTCTGACCTAGCCTTTGCCTTTGGAACCAGCCGATCCAACTCCGCGGTTTATCCTTGATACTTTGGATCCAAACAAGGCAGTCGAAAACAAGAACGAAGGGTAACAAAGTGTCCCAGAGTTGGGCTGTCCCAAATCATGTAACGCGTTTTATAGCTAACACCTTCCATTGTTTTTTTGCCCCGCTGGGAAAACATAAAACATATATTTCCAGTAGTGATAGATTCCCATAAAAACAAACAATGACAATTAACAAACAACCTAAAGCAAATGGAAGACACCAGTTACAAAAAAATAACAACAAAAAAAATGGGAAAGCGTGCAACCTACAGTCCCCAGCCCCAACAAGCGGCCACCCCCTCCCCCAAAAAAACAGCAGGCGCCTCAGTGAGCCGCTGCCAGGCCTGCCGGATCTGGTCTCTCTCCTCGGCGTCGAATAGAAACCCCGCGTCGGTTGTCCGTGTTTGGCATACCAACCCAAAATCACCAGAGTAGTTAATCGCTTCTTAAAAGGACCAGGTGAAATCGACAAAACTCAACCCGTTTTCTATCGACCCAAGGCAACCCCCCCAGAGGAAATACTGTTGACCCAGGATGAATCACCTGTCCCTGTCCCATTATTAGGGGGGTGCTCCCTCCAAAAGTGTTCCGAATCCCCACTAAAACGGCACACCCCCATATTAATCGCTTGATCCGGGCTTAACAGAAGGCAACGAATCCAAGGCAACCCCTCAAGGCACCCCCCAAAAAAAAGGAATCCATCTACCTCTGGGCTGGGTCTCCGAATCCAGTGCTGCCAGCAGCCGCCGGAAGGAGCTCTCAATGAGCGCCTCCGCCATGGCAGCGAGACCCCGAGGATTCCGAGAGCCAAGGGCCTGCGGAGCAACGGGCAAGGACGGCTGCGGCTGAAGCGATGGCCCCAACACCGGTGTTGTTTTTTTCATTTGGCTTTCCTTTCAAACCACTCAAAGAAAGGGTGGCTTCAAAGTGTCAGAGAAAGACACATGTCCATATGGGGGTGAATGTGATTTAAGGGTGAGAAAGGGAACTCAAGCAAGAAACCACTTCGAAGGGTTCCCGTGTGTGCGTGTGTCTGCGCAACTATAGTGTGAAAGAGTCGCAATGTGGAGTCGGGGTGCGTTGGCACAATTTCACGTGATGTTTGTAGTTGCTGCAAAGAGTCGCATAAGAATGCAAAACGAAAGCGCGCTGCAATGCAAGAGGTGCAGCGAGGCGCCCTGGTCCAAAACATCTTGTCAAGTACACAAAGCCGGTCGGCAGTCTGGCGCCGCGAACGATACAATCTGCCCAAGCGCTATCAAGCTAACACAGGAAATTGTTGACGCCAGGAACGGGCACATCATGTCGAGCCTGAACATCCCTCAATTAATCAACCAAGTGGGGTGGTTGGGTGTGTCCGGCCTTTTTCTGAAATGGACCACTCTCCCATTGGTGGACCAGGAGTTTGTTACATAACGGGGCAGGGTACTTAGTGATTTGTAAGCCTGGTTATAACCCACTTAGGAGACTTATAACCATGGTAAGTGGGTTGTATCAAAGGGGTTGGCTACAGGAAAATCAACAGAAAATGGCCCAGCTGTTTTCCTGCGGAATGTCCTGTAACCCAACGCTTTGATAGCCAGCCTTGCAAAACCACTTACCTGGCGTACCAAATCGATCGCAAGGGGGCCACCACTTCAAGGCCCACCTTGCCCGTGACCATGCCACTATCCAGCAGCGCCAGAGGCACCACGGTGGTCTTGCCTGCACCTGTGGGCGCCTGGCCGCGGTACTGCCCCCCGATATATATATATATATATCTCTTAGAAAACCTGCGGCCCACGCATACTCCGCCAGTTGGTTCATGATACTCTTTGATTCGTTCAATTTGGTTCCTGATGTTTCCTTGATTGTCCCTGGTTCGTTAATAAGAGGGTGCCAGCCAATTGAAATGGAAGCCACTTTGAAAAATCACCCCGCCAATTAATCCGCTAGGTGCATTCATCTGCGGTCGGCATTACCCAGTTGCAACGAGAGCCCTGGTTCAATAAGACATGGTCCGACATGGTCAGCGTGGGTCTACGCAGCGATGGGAAATCTGAAGCGATGATATGACTTGCACACAGGGTATGCAGGACCAGTTTTGTCAGAACCGATCCAAAACCAACTCGTTGAATGGACTTGCCAAACCCTCAACACTGTTTGGCCCTTTGCCCAAGAAAAACTTATTGCAAGGCACTTGTCCGAGCTCCCGAAGAGAAAAACAACAGCTGGTGAATCCTCCTCTCGCTCACGAAAATCTTGGTGTCTAGGACTCTACGAAGAGGTTAAGCAACTGAACATAATAGAACTCCAAGATTGTGGAAAAGTAGCCATTCGACCGGCGTGTAGATACCATCCAGGGTGAGGTCTTTGCATGTATAACGCTTCCACATTCGGGGGTTGTCCAAACTAGGGAGCCCATACGCCTGAAGCACCAAATCCTGAGACGGGTAGTGCTCCAGCACGGAGGGCAAAATCTGCTGGATCGGCAGGTCCTCAGTGGGGCAAGGAGGAGCCAAGGCCCACGCTTTGGACCCAAGATCAACGAGTGGATTGGCAAATGGGGTACCTGTCCTGGAACAAAGGGACAGCCCTATCTTTGGAGACGTACCCAAACGGTTGGCACTGCAGGGTAGCCAGATCGTTAGTTTGGGATCAATTCCATGCTTAGTTGGGAAGCCACCAACTAGAAGGGAAAAAGGGCGAATCCACTGGGACAATCAAAGGCCCCTCCCAAAACCCTGGAAATGTTCTTAGAACCTGTTCACAACGGGTTCTTAGAAAAGAGTGCTGAGAACAATTTCGATGTGTAGGGGGTCCTATTGATCAGCCTGAATTCAATTGCGAAGTGGAGCGGGACGAACGGCAGAAACGTTTTGGCGGCGACGCCAAGAAAGCAGCACCCAAATTCTATTGACAGCTGGCTCCACCAAAGATGGGAAAGGTTGATGGTGACATGGCCCATGGCAGACGAGCATGCTCGAAGACAGCAAGCTAGGAACAACTCGCCTGGGGCTGTTTGCTGTCAGCATCTGGGTGCCTAGCCGCGTCTCTGAAGGGGCGTCGGCCTCAGGCTGCTGAGCAGTGAAATCATGAACATATCTGGGAGTTTCTCGAAAAAATGGCGGACCCATTTTTGTTGGTTGGTAGTTGAATGGCAAACTTGCAAAACGCAAAGCATGCATTTTTGAGGGAAGGGCCATAGTGAGAACACCCATGCCTCTGCTCAACTTACCATGTTTCCCCCCCTCGCTATCCCTCACTCTCTCCATCTTTCTCTCTTTTGCTCTTTTGTTCTCTCTCTTTATTTCTCCTCGCCTACAAGGGAAATGAAGGAACTTACTTGGGCTTGAGGGCATCATGCACCTGGCAGGAGTTCACAGAAGGGCAATCTTTTTAACAACCCGCTACAAGTAGAGATATGGCATGGCTTCCTTTGTTTTTCAATTTGAGCAAAAACGAATGTTCGAACCCTCGTCGTGAACCACCCAAACAGAGTACCCCAAAAACACACAGACAGAAACACACACACACACACACCCACATGTGTGTGTGTGTGTGTGTGTTTCATTCTTTCAGTTGTGCACTTCTTCTTTGGGGCTACGGGGCGCTCCAAGCTGAAGTGTGCGACTCTTGGCCCCACGCCCAGTGATTTGGCCTGACAAAACACATCGAGTATCGAAGAAAGGCCAAACGTGCGCCTTGGGGTTTAAACCAGGGCCTAGGAACACACGGAACAAACCGTCAAGGCGCATGCTGATCAGGATGAAGTTTCGCTTTGTGATAAGTAGGGGAAAATTAAAGAAAGACCCATCTGAACACATACGTGAGCCAAGACTCACCAAGCGCCAGAACCAACAAGCAAGACGTTCATCCCCGCAGCCCCAAGCGCCCCATGCCAAAGCTTTCGCGGCGAACTCGTGAAGGGCCTCGCGAGCCTCACGCACCAAAGGCCTAAGTGGAGGAGAGGGCGGCAACAAATGCTCAAACCATCCCCCTACCTTAAGGGGGAGGGGAGCGGCCCCCCATTTCCATTTTTTTAGTTTTCCCGTAGAAGTGAAAATGGAAACTCAAAATATAATTCCAGGGGTCACCCCCTCCCCCAATTCCATCTAGAAGGGGGTGGGGATCTCAAACCCATGCTCACCAAGAACTTCCGAAGCACTTCCAAAAGCATTCCTAGCACCACTTGCCAAATGACGTGAAAGTGGGAAACAACAAGATCATCCACCCTTTCGGCCACAAGCCCCAGATTGACTCACATGGTTGGCAAACTGGGAGTTCAAAAGGACCAGGTTGATTCTTGCGGCAAGTCAGCAGACCAAGTCTGGCTGATCCACTGCCCAACGGATCCGACACTTGGCATGTGTCGGGCACTCTCAGTGCTTGACTAGATCTGCCAACAAAAGATTGATTGACAACCTGGAAGCACAATAGTGTGGGGATGACCGAAGCGGACGCTGCTCCCAGAGCTTCACACTAGGGCGGAATGTATCACTGGTAGCTGCGTTGATATGCGCCCCTGCCAATCCAAACCCGTAGGTTTGGATGCTTGCCAGATCTGGCCAGTCCAACCCCCTAGATATGCATGAACCTATTTTGGTGCTAGCGGACACCCTCCAACCTGCAAGTTCTGCAAATCCCACAGCCTGACGCACGGGATCCCCAAGTGAAGGGCCTACATCATGGCGAACAAAAGCTCCTCTGAGCCTCCTGCGGCCTGGCTACTGGAGTGGCCACCGCCTAGCGACCCGGCCCAGTCAGCGCGCCCTTTGGCGACCCAAAGGGGCTGGCCCCTGATGTGTTGTTTGTGTTGTTTTTGTTGTTTGTTTGTTTGTTTGTTTGTTTGTTTGTTTGTTTGCTTGCTTGCTTGCTTGCTTTTGCTTTTACAGTCTTAAGTCTGAACCAAAGGAGTCAAGGGAGTTATGCTTGCACCTAGCCTGTTCGCCTGCTGCTGAGCCACTGGACCACCCTAATTTGAGCTAAGAAGATAAGACCGTTGTTGGGGAAACGGGTTCCTCAGCACTACCCCGTTGCAAGAAAGATTCAAGAAAGCACATCACAATCACAAGATACACTTTGAACTTCGAACAGTGGATTCCTGTGCAACAAAAAAAACATGTGCAAGCATTTTGGCTTGGAGATGCTTTGTTCAGCCATACCCCTTCTCGCCAACCCCTGCTTTCTTTGGGTATGGCGGTGAAGTTCTCGTGAGATGCCAGGCGGTTGGACCTCGCCGTCCTTCCGCTCACCATCTGCCCACTGAGGAACTCAGGCCAAGTCGGTTTGCAACACATCTCAACACGTTGGTTTGAGAAAAGTCCCCAGCTTTACATCTCTTTCCAGTCCTGCCCCGCCCAACCCAGCCGCGCCCTCATCGCAGCACCTCGAGGCTGCTACGTAGTTCCGCTGATCACCCGGCATAATGGTTGGGTTGGCTTGGATTGGAATGTAGGCATGTTCGCTCCTTTGCCCACTTCACATATCTACCGGGATAGCAGGTGCCCCATAGCGCAGCAGCGCTAAAGAAGACTGTTAAATAACCCCTGGCTCAAACATGGGCGACTTCTATGTGTGGATGGCATTCATTTGGGAGGAGGTGAAGATATGCAAGCAAGTCTTGCCTCAGCCAACGGCAGTAGGAATACGCAGCATGAGGATCCTTCAGAAAGAAAGGGTGCCGAGTTTCCCCAAAAAGGGCAGCCTCTTGAGGCAAACCAATGGACCAAAGGAAGCGCCATGTTCTATCTCTGAGGTTTGACTACGAGGCTCGGAGCATGGAACTGATGAGGTGAGGGTCAAACCGAGGCCCCCGCGCAAGCGCCGCGCTCTGGA